TCGGGGCGCAGCGGGAACGTATAAGGGATTTTGGTCGACGTCGCCTTCTGTCCGCGAAAGGCAGGGAGGGAGAAGTGCTCCGAAAGCTGGTGTTCGGCTGCCTAACCCACGGCGCCCTCCGTCGAGCCCGCTCCGCTAATGAAAAGGAGCTTACGCAACCCGTGCTGCGTGTGTTTCATGCGAATAGCCCCGGCACCTGTTGTGCAACTGTAATCGCACCCAACGCCGAGCCAGAAACCCCCTGAACATGCTGAAATGCGACAGCTCTTGCAAAAATGAGCAGTCAGGTAGCAAACGAGACCTTAGTTAATTGAGTGAACAATTAACAAGCTCACCCTTTATTAAGCACCAGCAAATTCACGTGGCAGGAAGACACTGGAAACCAGGCTTCATTATTTCCCCGCTACCACAACCACTTGTTTATTCCTGAAATCAGCTGCCTCGTTCATTACGCAGCTTCCATCTTCCGCAATACGAGAAGCAGGTATCATCTGAGACTACGGTGTCTAAACTACACAGTCCCCAGTCATTCCCAAAGCACTATTCATCCCATATTCCAACTGGTGCAAGCGTTTGGTGGGGAGGAATTAGAAACTGTATTACACTGCATGCAAGCTAGGAAGAAAAATTAATAGTATTTTATACCTGTCAAAGATCTATCTTTCCAACTATGTATTGTTTTAATGTAACATTTGTATCTATTAAAAGATAATATTTAATTAAGGATGTATTTTCGTAACTTTAATAGAAGTGACAGTTTACCTGATTCACCGTTTCTTCAATTGCTCTCATATAATGATTAAGTTCTCTGTCCATTGCAGCATATTCTAACATAACATTTTCCATACTGTTAACATCCTCTACATCATCTGCAAAACAAAATATTTTGTACATGGATGATCAGTTGTATTATTTTCAGGCAGCATTTTTTCTTTACAGATATGAAGACAAGTATTAATGCTGTGAATTTCTAAAGCATCTGTAAGGCACAGCAGGTGTTTTCAAGCTCCTCAAACATATACTTTTTTCCTATTTTGCAACTGTAAACCTTGACATTTCTTGGGTAACTTGAACAAACAGCTTACTCAGAAAGACACTTCCCTGGTTTCATGTGAACAAGAGAGAGTGTGTGTAATTTCATCTACCAACACCTAGTCATTAGGCAATCAGGATATTTTCTGCAAAAGTTATATTTCATGACTCATCACATTGCCTCAGAAATAGTCAGAAGAAACTTAAATGCCCTCTCAGTACAGTATAGTTCGCAGCTATAATTAGACCCCTTATCCCCAATAAACATAGCTACTGCAAAATCGAAACAGAGCCAGCATTTTATAACACAGGAAATAATGGAAGATTGAATAGCACTGGTGAATCAAGCAGTAAAATTTTAATTGCCGGTGAAAATCAATGAATACAGGACATGTGCTTAGTAATTCACATCCACTTTTATTCTCTTCTGCATTCCTCCTAATTTCACTCCTTTCATCTTTAACTACACCTCTGCTTTCCCATTCTAACGTTGCTGTGCATCTGCTTAGCTGGATAAGGACTCTTCATAGATGCTACAGGGCTGAACAGCCACAGCTTTATCTCCTGACACAGGGGCATGTACCACACCAAATACTGCCAACTGCGGGAGGACAGCCAGCCATGAGCTCCTAACCCATTTAGGAAATTAAGAAATTAGGAAACATAGGTTTCCACTTGTCCTACTCCCATTCATTCCTGCCCTGCAGTTTCCAGGTATAAAGAAAAGAGCTGGAAGCAGCTGGAAGCTGCAAAAGAGCCCCAAAGTCTGCTGTGCAGCATTAGGGGTTGTCATTTAATGGAGTATTCTTCTTTACAAGCTGTTTAAGTAGCCAATCTGTGCTGTTATTTTTAGGAAGAAAATCATGGCATAGCTTTTTAAATTAATTTTTTTGTGAAGAAAGGAAAATGTCTTCTGATCTGGCAAGCTAGTGCACTTCCTAAGTTGCTAACTATGTTAGTATCTTAGAGCACAAAAACCTGTCTCTGCAGAAAGCTAACATAAAGCATTGTATACGGCCATCTTAGCTTGAGAGCAAAACCTGAAACCGTTGCTGAAACACATCACTCAGGGATAGAAGCTTCATACCATATGAAACAGTGATGGATCCAGGAGACAGAAGGAAAAGTGCTAAGATATATTTACACAAAAAAGTTACATAATAAGCCATACTATTTTGTGAACATGGCAATTACAGTCATGATGTTTCCCTTAATTATATATAGGCTTGGTATGTATCCATTTTTCATTAAGTAGATGAGTGGATATTGCAGACAGAAACTTGGCATTCTTGCAACTTTCTTCTGAATAATCAGCATTTCCGTCTCCCCTTTCCCTTCCCTCCCACCCAATTTCCATATCCTATCTGGTAACTACGATCATCCTCTTTTTCCTTCCTGCTAGGAAGCATATGAAGTGCCTCCTTCAAGGCTGACACAAATGGCACTCCATGAATCACAGGAAAGGTTTGTGTAGCAAGTAACTGTCATTCTCCTCCCATGGCCAAAATGAATCATATCCACGACATAAAGAAACTACAGTGGCCTAAATCTTTTTTTTAGGGGAAGAGAAGTGCATTGTTAAAACACCAACAGAGCTGTATTAACGTCATCTTTCCTAAAAGTTAAGAAAAAGCTTTAGATAAAGACTAATAATGTTGCAACTTGAGAGATGCATTGAAATAAAGTTCAAACCAAGAGGTAGAACACCGCTCAGGCAAGAGGGACATTATCTGTAACTACATCCTGCCCTACATGCTTCAGGTACTGACCGTTCCACCCATTCACCGGCCTGTTTTAAGTCTCAGTGATGTTCACTGCTGTTTCCCTGTTGCTGTTCTTTCATGCACATGAAGTATGTTACACTGGGAAATCGCTGAATGCATCACTAACACATGATTATAGCCTGCCCTTGAAGGCATTATGGACATAAAGATAGATCTGAAGGACTGTATACAGGTCAGTCGTTGTCCATCCCCTATTTCTACCCTTTGACAGATACTAGAGTCTGTTTTCTATCTGCAGTTCAATCCATAGTCGAAGGTGCTGAGAGCTAAGAGGAAATCTCCCATGTTGTTCCCAGCCACTCATCTCCCCATGTTCTAAACAAGATTTAAAGGAAAACTTACATTACAGGCTATTCTATTTGCCTTTAAAAAACTCTTGTCATACCACATTACACACTGAAATAACCCGCTGTGCGTGGCTCCTCTGCTCCCACCACAGTCTCCCTTCCCCTGATGAGCTAAGAGCACTTCTGCCCCTCCCTGGTAAGGAGCAGATGCAGAGCAGAGCTTGGGTACACATGATGAGCAGCTGTGGGTGACTGTATGGGGATGTAAAGTTTTATAGCTCACCAAGGCAGGGATCCCAGCACCTTCAATGTTTCCTTGCAACAGACTCCACCATAGACTAACCAAAACACACAAGTTGACCTGATCTTACTAGGGAACAAGAAATTAGAAAAAAAAAGACTTACCTCTCCTCACCACCATCCCACAGCTCACTCTCCCAAATCCCACCAACCCGTTAGTTTAACAGCGCTACAATATGAAGAAGAATCAAAATTTAATAATTATGTCAGGCTTTTGAAAGATTCAGAAGGCATTGTCCGTTACTTGCTGCTACTTTTATTTCAGTTGTGAGGAAGGCAGTAGAGATGCATGGTAAAGGGATTCAAGGCACTGTCTCTCTTCCAGCAGACTGTGACCACCTTATCTGCTGAATACCCTCCAGCCAGGCTTCTGCTACAAAGCCAGCTAACTCCCCAAAGTACTCAAGCCTTTCACTCTGCAGGCCAACAACCTAGCTCAACACCAAAATCAAATGCTTTGCAAGTGCTGGATCAGTGCCCTTCTGTTATCTAATCAAAATTTATCCTAATCTTGTTCTAATTCATATCTAAGGAATGCATTCCAAACTCTCTGCATATGCTTTTAGCTACTGCCACAAAATACCATTGAAGTTGCATACTGTAGTTAAGTCTCCTTGTTATCTAGGCTAAATATGTTGAGTTTAGTAAGCATTTCTCCACAAGTCCTTACCCTCACCACCCAGAGATTATACATTTTGCAATATGACATCTTTTACTCACAGAAAGCCCAGTTCAAGGCCATAATTTTCATTTTCAAAGGCTCATGTGCATCATGTTAAAATTAGCTGGATGAATATGCACACTTCATGATTATGAATTCCAGCTCGCGTGACTTTATGAACTCTTTTTATAATGGAAACGGATATTATTCTGAAAAGCCTCGCTAAATATTAAAGAACAAAATTATATAAAGAGACTGGCAAGAGTTCAATTTCTCATTTCTAATAAGAGACCAAACTGATCATGCTCAGGTGCCTTACTGCTGATTCAAACTGTAATCACTCAGAGCTGGGTTACATATCATGAACCCCACAGTGTTAAAACAGAAGTTGCAATAACAGGATAGAGTCAAGTCAGCACTGGTTCAATACTTCCTATATTAACACCCATCTAAAATGCCACCCATTTATCCAAAACTTGCATTTCCTTCTAACATCTGAGTTCATATTTACTTTAGTTCCCTGTATACATCCACAAGTTAGCAAAATTTCTAAAGATTTTTCACAACTACCTCTTTTTCTGTGCAAAAGTTACAACATCAGTATTTGCTTATTTAGGGTATTACAGCTGTCCTGCAGCCAATACACAGCAATTCAAATAAGCATTCGCTTCCACTGCAGACTATCTCAAACACAAAATAGTCTGGAATACCATGAAATTACAGGAAGGCTCTTAGCCTACAAATATAACAGTACTTAAAATGAATGCTTAAGCACAGACAACATTGATTAACATAAATATATATATACTCTCATATCATTATAGTATTGGCTAACAAAAGTCAAACTTTCAATTTAAAGAAAACAGGACATTATCAGTTCTACCTCTTGCACTTAGGTTGCTTTGAATTTCAAGGCTACACACTGTTTTATCTGTAAAGCTCTCCCATCATTCAAGGCAGAAGAAGAATGGTATACCATTGCCCACAAATTTTGACAGTAGATTTCAGACTGTTAAAACACACGTAGCACAAACATCTGTCACTTGAGCCAACAGTGACAGCCAGTAGTAGGCAGTTGTCTTCATATACACCAGCAACAGATAAAATACAAACTTTGCCAGCAGGTTCAAGTTACGGCTGACAGCAGAGGAACACAAGCTCCTCGACTCCTTAATTTAGTTCCATCTTCTGGAAGAGAATGTACATTCTCAATTCAGGATACAGCAAATCATTTTGTTGTTGTTTTTAGCAAGTACTTCATCTTCAAAACCAAAAGTGCTAAGACACCCACCTGTGCCCCCAATTTTGGTCTACTCAAAAAGTGTTGGTAATTCAAGTTGGACAATACAACTTGAAAAAAACTATGAACCAATCCACACTCTTTAAAAACAGACTCACAAAACACTTGGAGAAGACAGTAGCAAGATGTCCCTCTACTGTCTAGATGCTTGGTAGTGAGAGGATACAGACCTATGTAGAAGACCACTGTCTTATTTCCCTCCTCTATCTTCATATACTTGAACCCTGCCATGGTCCTCCAGACTATACAGATCAACAGGAACTTAAACAGCAGATTGATTGGTTCTGTAGCACTGAGGGTGCATCTTCACTTTTCCTCCTGCAGATACATGGACAGCTCCTCAGAAAACTTTCACCAAAGGATATTTCTTTCCAAATCTCATCTCCCTGACCTGTAACATATTTTATCTATTAGGCTGCAAAAAGAGCAGAATGCTAATACAGAAACTTCTAAACTAAAAGAAATGAGAAATAATACAAAGGAACAGCAAAAGACAAGAAAACCA